AGGAGGAGGAGGAGGAGGAGGACAGGGGCGGGGGCGGCGGAAACGCTGGCATGGGATCGGCGATACATCGCCAAGGGGCGCCCGATAGCGAACCTGTACGCTCGTGGGCGAGGTGTGCCATCGGGGCACTATCGGCGAGGAATGGGGAAACCAAGAGGTATCGATACCACTACTCCCCGGACCTCTCCCAAGGTGCGTCCTGACAAGAATTTCAAGGTCAATCCAGCCGCTGCGACGAGGCAATCCCAGGAGGCCCAAACAGGGGAAGCACGAGGGATGCGTAGCGACTATTGGTACCCCTTCCTCCCCTGAATGAATGGACGATCGGGGGTCGACGCATCTCCCCTGAGCCTATCCCGCCCATAGACGCGCCCCTGTTGGGCCCCCAAGATGTAAACCGTCGCGCCGCAGGCTGCGCATATCCCCACCTCCTGCCTTCGCAGGATCGAGGATCCCAGATCAAGGATTTCGGGGTATTCGGGCGTTTCTTCTGAGCCTCCTGCAAGGGGCGGTCCTTCATTCCTGCTCTTCCTCCTCGTCCGCCTCCTCCTCATCTTCCGCTTCCTCGTCTCCTCCTCCTCCTCCTCCTCCTCGCCCGCAATCTTCCCTGACGCCGCGGCCGCCACCGCCGCCGCCGCCGCCGCCGCCTCCTCCTCCTCCTCCTCGGGTGGTTTTCAAATGTGGTTCCCGCCTGAGCGCCGCGAACATTCGTTTGTAAAATACGCCAGAGTTTCACGGATTGAAGGTGGATGGTTTTCCAAATGTGGCTCTCGCCTGAGCGCCGCGCACATTCGGCTGTAAAACTCTAAGAAGTTCGCAGTTTCAGGGCGGTTCGTTTTCAACATGTGGCTGTCGCCTTAACGCCCCGCACATTCGTTGTATACAAATTCAAGAGGTTCACGAATTGACGGCGGCTCCTTCTCAAAATGTGGCTGTCGCGTTAGCGCGGCGCGCATTCGTTGTAGATATTACAACAGGTTCAAGGTTTCTTTGGTCAACGTACCAGAAATCATGTTTTGGAAGGGCGCAGGGTTGTGAGGGCGCAACAATTATGTTGAGTCGTGGTGTTGATGTTGATTCTTGGCGTTGGAGTCACAAGAACGGTGCTTTGGCACGCTGCATGGTCTTCAATGGGTTGCTCTTGTACGGGCCTATGAACAAGGCTTGTAGGGAGGGTTTATTTCAACATCATTGAAGAGCCTTTGGTTTACACTGGTCCTCCTCCTAACTCCTTCCTCCCTCCACCTCTCCTCTTCTTCCTCATCCTGCCCACCTCCCCCTCCTCTGCAACCTCAGAGCGCTCTTCCTTCTCCTTCCCCCCTCCTCCTCCGCCACATATACGTGTTCCTCCTTCTCCCTTCCACTCCTCGGCACAACCTGCGGCATCCACTCTGGGGCGCTGCACCAGACTTGAAAGTCTAGACTTGTAGTCTTCCTCCCCCGCCTCCTCCGATACCGTTACTTCCCGGACCTCTTCTGGGGTGCGTTCTGACAAGATTTTCAGGCGAATCCATCCATGGCGACGAGGGCCTCCGAGGAAGCCGGAAGAGAGGAAAACGGGCGAAAGGCAGAGGCACCGGTGCCTTTTCCGCCTCCTCCTCCTCCTCCTCCTCCTCCTCCTCCTCGTCCTCCTCGTCCTCCTCCTCCTCCTCCTCCACCTCCTCCTCCTCCTCCTCCTCCTCCTCCTCCTCCTCCTCGTCCTCCTCCTCGTCCTCCTCCTCCTCCTCGTCTCCTCCTCTCGTCCCCCTCCTCCTCCTCCTCCTCCTCCTCCTCCTCCTCCTCCTCCTCCTCCTCCTCCTCCTCCTCCTCGTCGCCCTCCCCTTCCTCCCTCTGGCACGCGAGCCTCGCCTCGGCTCTCCCACGGCGGGCGGGCGCCCGCGGACGCCCTGCGCGGCCTCCTCCTCCCCTCCGCTCGGCGGGCGGGCGGCGCCTCGACCCCTGCAGCGCGCTCGGCGCCGAGCGCGCTGCAGCTCTGGAGCCCCAGGGGTCCCACGAGACGAGACCGGGACCAGCGTTACATCGGAGGAGGCCCTCCTGCCTCCTGGAGGAGCCCTGCCCTCAGGAGGAAACAGCAACAAAAGACATAAATGTTTGGCGCTCCGCGCGGATCTCTTGGATCTGCGCTGGACTTCCCCCCCCCCCCCTGGCGCGCGGAGCGCGCCAGGGGCGGCGCAGGAGGCGCGAATCCAAGGAATCCGCGCCGAGCGCCAAAAATGTCGCTGCACCGACCTTGCAGACGTGCTGCAGAGGATTTTTGCGCGGATTTATTTCTGTCCGTGGAAAACCAGAAACGGCGAGTGAAAAACGAAGTGAGTTTCGCGTGGACGTTTTCTGTTCGTCTTCATTCCTAGCCAAATGTCCGCACGAAATTCACCTCGAAATCTGAAACGACATTCTCCGGGACACTCCGGGCCCTTCCTATTGTTTTCCGAGCGAGATCCGCTCTGCGATGTTTGCGCCATGGTCAGAGGAGGAACAGGTACCCCTACCCCCACCCCTCTGTTGATTCGAACGTTATTTCCTCACTCCGCTACCGCTTGTGCACAAAAGCTTGCTTGAGGAGCGCGCCGGGGGCGCGGGAGAGGCAAAGGAACGAGCCCTGTCGCTCTGTCCCAGGGCCCGGAGGGCCCCTCGTCGAGCTAGGGCATTGACACAAGCCTGAGCCACACTGCCCAGAGTATGGCCATGGCGGAGAACGGCGGCGGCAGCGGCGTGCGGGATCGCAGATTCAACGGAGAAGACCCCTACCCCTCCCTGAATGTCCCCCTTTTGGGGGCCTCCTGGGAGCCCTCGTCGCACCAGCCGGATTCGCCTCGAACTTCTAGTCAGAGCGTACCCTGGGAGGTATCGTCGATACCTGTTGGTCTCCCCAGGATCGGAATGAATCGGGGACCTCTGAGGCTCGGCGGCGCTGGAGGGCGCATCGGGCGCTGCAGCATTTCCAGAGCGCTCCGGAACGCTCCGAGATCGTTCCAGAACGCTCTGGAACGATGTACACCCTGCGAGATGCTTTAGAAATCATGGGTTGAGAAATTCATAGTCTCAGAATTTGAATAAAAACCCAGAATGTCTATTCAAATCTTAGGATTTACATGGAAACGTTAAGAATCATCAAGACTCTGGCCGAAAACATAGGTTTTCTTAAGCATCGCCTAGGGTGTACCCCGATCCTGGCCCCGCCCGAGGTCCTCCACCCCTCTTCCTTTTTTAGATAGCCCCGCCGGTGTCGCATGATCAGACGTGCCCGTGAGGCCAAGGCCTTCGCTTGAGAGCTACTGAGGACATATATATATATATATATATATATCGGGGATGGACAGACCCCCCTTTAGTAGAACGTGGTTTAGTGAAAACGACCTGAGGCCCAAACCTGGCGGGCGCAAACCTGGAAAATAACGGCCACGGCGCCCTCTCGAGAACCGGAAACGGACAATTCGCTAATCGACGTGTCACTGTTGGGGGTTCTGTCCACCCCCGAATATATATATATATATATATATATATATATATATATATATATATATATATATATATATATAGATGTGTGTGTAAAACGTTGAAGCTCTAAAGCAACTCCATCCAAGCAGTTCATCGAACAAACACGGCACTTGCCTTCGCGCCAGAAACATTCGGCTTAGAATGATACACGAATGACATGGACGAGGGGCTCACATTCATGCCGCGCGCATTCGTCCTAGAAGTTTGCAACAGCTACACGGATGCAGGGCCGCCCGATCTCAACATGTGCCTCTCAACCCAGCGCCGCATCTACTGGCGAATTCAAGCTGTGCCGCAGCCACACGGATGGAGACCCGTTCGTTTTCAAAGTGCGGCTACCACTTTAGGGCATGCCCCCCTACAGGCGGATTTTGTACGACATAATAGAAATATTCAGAACTATCGCAAAAGTACTCAAAGAAAAAAAAACTCGAAAAAACGTCCCCCGACTATTCTTGTACTATGTTTGAATATACATCATGTAGATGGACAGGACCGACTTGACTTTAGACTTCCTACATGACACGCCGTCCCGAAATGGTGCAACAGTTACAGGGCTGGAGGGCGACTCATTTTCAACATTGGGCTCATCACATGATAAGTCCGCAGGGTCTATGATCAGAACTCGACGCTCCGCAGCACCTCAACGGACGGAGGCAGAATCTCTTCAAACCAATCAATCGCTGGACACCTCGTTTGCACACTCGCATCCTGACGCAGTGCGTTAGCTTAGGTCAGGCACGTCCCCCTACAGGGGGATTTTGGACGAACAATCACAAGTAGACAACACATACTTAAACATTGTCAAACAATACGCAAACATCCCCATACTATGTTTTTACTATTTTTGAGCATTCATCCTGTAGAGGGACGTGCCCGACTTCATCCTACCGCATTGCGTGAGCTTTGTCCTGAAAACGCTGCCCATCCGTCCTGGAACGGGGGCTCGCTGGAGCGGCAGGGCCACTGAGGGCTCGCCACTCGAGGAGGGCGCCTTCCGCAGTGGACTTAAGCATACCTGCAGGGCCTCGTGGCAAAGGGGCTCGGGACGGGAAAGCAAATTGCAACATCGCTCTCAGATCTTGAAGTTACCCTCCCAGATCTCGGACACCGGGAACTGTTCGCAACGTGGACCCCCCGGAGGACTGGACCCCTTCCCCGGGATCGTTTCTTCGCCCCCAGCACTCGATTGTCGGTCCTGGGGCCTGGTGGGGCCCCGTCCCGTCGTGATGCCTTCGCAGCGAGAGGAGGTGGGGGCTGGTCCTCCTCCTTCTCCTCCTGCTTCTCCTCCTCCACCTTTTCCTCTTTCGCGGCGGCTCCTCCTCCTCCTCCTCCTCCTCCTCCTCCTCCTCCTCCTCCTCCTCTTCATCCTCCTCCTCCTCCTCCTCCTCCTCCTCTTCCTCCTCTTCCTCCTCTTCCTGCTCCTCCGCCTGCCTATTCCTGCCTCCTCCTCCCCCTGCCTCCCCCTCCCTCCCTCCCACCTGGCGGAGGCGAGGCGACGCCTCGACGCCCGCGTTCACCGCCTCGGACAGAAAGCTCGACTGCGAGCCCGGGTCGGACAGGGCGCGCGGGCTCAGGGCCGCCCGGTCCTGGCGGGACCGCGCGCGCGGAGGGGGGCGCTGGGGCTCGATCCGGCTCGAAAAATACACAAAAGCATCAGGTCTGGGGCTCTGGTCGTGATTGCTTGCGATGTTGCGTCGGATCACCAGGCAGCAGGAGAAGGGGGGGGGCAGGAGGAGGAAGGGGCGGGGAAGAGGAGTAGATGGGCCGTGATGCGCTGCATCCCGCTGCCCCCATGCTCGGCCAGGAGGAGGGGGTGCCGAAGAGGGGGGGCCAGAGGAAAAAGAGGGGGGCCAGGGCCGGGGGGCAGCGCCTCACGACCCGAAGCATGCGCGCGGACGACGGGGGAGGGGTCAGGGAGCGTGCTACAGGAAGAAGAGGAAGGCGGGGCGTGGGCGGGCACCACGCGGATGGGCCGGGCGCGAAGGCGCCACGCGAGCTGTGCCGCTGGGGCCGCAGGCCAAAGCTCCCCGCGAGGCCACGGTCCCCGTGAGGGGCGTGCTGTGAAAGTGGCACAGTGGCGCCACGCGTCCGCGCGTCCGCTGGGCCGTAGGCGGAGCGCTCTGTTGGGCCACGGCGCGCGTGAGCGGTGTGCCGAGCGGGCAGGGAGGAGAGCAAGGGATACAGGGTAGAAAATCCACCCCGATAATAAACACCCCGACAAGCGATCCCGCTTGGTAAACGCACGCGTTAAAAAAGGGGTCGAATAGAGCAGGGCTGCGTGGTAAACGCCCAGGGCCGCTTCATAAACGCCAGTTGTCGGGGTCTGGGTGTTTCTTCCTCCCTTGAGGGGAGGGCACGCGCGGATTGCGAAGGGCGCTGCGGATTCGGAACGAAGACCCAACTACATAGGAGGGTCGGCCACTGTGTCCTCCAAAAACGCATCCAACAAATCCATTCGATATCCACACAAAAACGCAGGCTGGTCAACACCAACACGTTGATCCACGTCTCGCTGCCCCTCGCCCTCTTGCCGAAATCGCGTCGCGTTTGACACGGGCGCCGATCACGCACAGGGGCCTCCACGCGTGGATGTCTTGAATGGATGTGCGGCGGGAGCACTTCGGTGTCCGCCCAGTCTGACCCCGCCGTTGGTCCCGCCCGCCAGAGCCCCGCCCGCCAGACACGCCCGTCAGGCCACGCCCACCCAGCTCGCCCGTTTGGGCACACGTCAGCGGCGAGGCGGCAAACTCCGCTCCAGCAAGAAGCTAGAAAGGGGCACTAACTTGCGAATTGGCCGGCGGGCACAGAGAGGGAAGGGGGAAGGTCGAGATGAAAAAGGGACGCTCAGACGCTGACGCAGGCTACGATGAGCAGCCGGCGGGCGGCAGCAGCCAGGCGCGCCGGGCCAGGGCGCGGTGGGCGGCCGTGGCGAACCGCGGTGGCAAGGGCGGCGGGGAGTGGCAGCCAGCCGGGGGTTAGGGGAGCACCCGAGACACCGCGTGCGTCGTACCGCGGATCCCCGAGGAGAACGCACAGCACTGAGCCGTACGGGGGCGGGAGCAGCGAATGGCGGGCAATGAAAGGGACACTGCGGCGTGACCGCATGAAGCCAAAGAAGACTCGCCCGTGTGGGCACGCACGCACGCGGTCGATCCGACTCGTCCGCCAGAGAGAATAGGCCCCACGCGGCAGGGTTCTGCGCCTCAGAATGCCTGCCCGGATCTGCTCACACGCTCCATTCGCTCGCTGCAGGCACGGCCTCTGCTACGAGGGAGGCACTTTGTAACACGGACGCTCACTGATGAACAAAACTGTATGGTTAGATGGGAGAGCGGATTTGACGCAGGACATCCGCAGTCGGTTGCCCCTTCCCCTCCCACCTCCTCGCGGTCCAGCTTAAGCCTCACAGTATACATGCGCATACGCATACATCTGAATCTATATATATATATATACACACACGTATGCTGTGTAGTATGTAAACACATGTTAATGTGTATGTATATATATATATATATATTTATATATACAACCTACATATAGATGTGTAGTGGCGGTGAATACTCCATGCGGCCGTCTTTACAGCGGGCGACGCGGACGGGCAAACAACATGGTAAAGGCCAATATGTGGCGACGATGTCAAATGTCCACATGGGGTTCCAAATGGGCGGCGGTTTCCGACCGCTTGCCCATCGTGTTAGATAAACACGCAAAAAAAAACTGGGAAACCTCCCGGAACTCCTCCGCGGAACGAGGTTCCCAAGAGGGCGTAGTAGGCTCGCATGGCGGCCTCTTTCCTCCTGCCTGTGCTCCAGGCTCGTGAGGCTCTCGCGGTCTGCTTCACAGTCACGCGTTCTGTTCTCCTGTTTCAGTCGAGGGGCGTTCCGTGTCTTTGCTTCGCGATCGTGACACGTGTTGGCTCTGCTTCTCAGTCGCGTTTCCGCACCGTCTGTCTTCTTTAATGTCCCCAAGAATTGCCATTCGCGCCGTCTCCTGCCCGCGCGTCCTGTTGGATGCTCGGCTCAGCGGTGGTGGTGGAGACCCTAAAATAGCCCCCTGAAAGCGTGAATTCGGCGTCTGTGGTGGTTCAAAAAGCCCATCCAATCGGGCTGCAGATACAGGGAGCAACACATAAGGAACGAAGCCCCTGTTTGGCCCAAGAGACGCCTTCGTTCACGAGGGGGCCAAGAGAACAGGCATGGAAGGACGCAGGGAACATCGAGCCCCTGATCATCTGGCCATCGTTCGGACGTCAATTCCCTGTGTTTTGTTTCGGTTTCGTGCGTGTTTTGTTCGCCAAAGGATCAAGGATGCTCCTCGATAGTCCTCGCCGAAGGAAATATACACATGTCCGAGCGATGCCAAGTCATTACTTCAACATCTTGACTGTACGCGGCTCAGCGATCTAGGTCAGGGCCCCCCTCACACGACCCGGGAGGACCTCGAGAGACTCCCAAGACGGCCCAAAAGGCCTGCGAGACGACAAGGGGGCATCCGGGAAGCCACCCATGGAGCCCGACGCCCCCCAGGGGCCCCTAACCTAAAAGGAGCGCGCATCGCTAAGAGGCCCCCGAGTGACTGGCGAGCCACGCCTCCTTCGTCATGGAATGGTTTTTCCGCATGCGCCTCCCCATCGTCGACCCCTCGGTCTCCTCGCCAGGACTCGGTCAGGTCAGGCCAGATCACATCTCGAGACCGTACCATTACAACGCTAAGGAAATCCAAAGTAATTGACCATACCGGATATGGTGGCTACTCACGAACAAGCCAAGTCAAAACAGACCAGGCAATCATATCAGCCACCGTATCTTGTGCACGTTGAAGCGTGGACAAATGACAAGGTCTGCCTGGTCGGATCCCCTAATTTTCTGAGCCCCCCCCCGTCGGGACGCACTTCCTTGCATGCGACGCCCCCTCTCCCCGAGGTTCCCTGGGCTGCCTCACACCTCCCTGGCGTTTTCCAAGGAGTCCAAGATGTCCAAGCTGACTTCCGAAACGGCCAAAACAGGCCGCCAAGGCCGCCAAGATGGCCGCCCTTGAGATGCACAATTCATTGATCACCTGATCGCCCTCAACCTCCACCTTCCCCGCCTGCCAGACGGCAGATGCCGCGCAGCGGCGGCCGCCGGCGCGGCCGCGGTCGAGGCCGCCGTCGAGGCCGCAGCGGCAGTCTCCGCGGTCTCCGAGGCCGTCCTGCGGCGGCAACTGCTGCGCGGAAGGTTCGGAAGGCGGAGGTCAAGGTCAAGCTTCGTCCGTCCCAAAACTGCCCAACAGGCCGCCAGGACGGCCCAAAGACGGCCGAAGGGCCCCCCCCCCCAAACGGCCCGAAGACGGCCCAAGAAGGTTCCAAGACGGCCCAAGAGGCGCCAAAGAGGGCCCCAAGACAGCCCCAAGAAGGGCCCAAAAGGGTGAACGTGAACAGACAGTTCGAGCCTTCCACCGCACGAAGGCCCAAGAGGCCCCAAGAGGGCCAGAAGAGGCCCTCCTGACGGCCCCGAGAAGCAAAAACCATTGATGTTCCGTTGCGTCGTCAACGCTGTGTGACCTTTTCGAGCTTCCCGCGCTTCAAGACGTCCGAAGGGGCTCTCAAGACTCCGACGAGACGGCAGAAAAGGGGCCCCCAAGGGAGCTCCAAGACGACCCGGGAGGGATCCAAGATGGCCCAAGAGGTGCCCACGACTTCCCAAAAGAGCAGCAAGACGGCCGCAAGAGAGAAAGGGAGGGTGAGAGAGAGAGGGCCCGTAGGGCAGACGAGTCCGCCCCAGCATGACGCCGGGCCGCGCGCGCCGCTCACTTGTGTCTCGCCAGCGTGTTCGCTGCCGTCCAGGGCGTCGCTTGGCGTGCACGCGGTGCCACGCGCGCCAATCCAGGAGCCGATCGCCCCAACGCGCATCGGAGGTCGAACGCATATTCTCGTGGCGGCGCCTGGTGCTATCTTGGAAATCAAGAACGCAATCATGCATACCATACTTCTGAGCAGCATATACAGCTGCAGGAGTAGAGCGCTTGACGAAGTCGACCCAACATTATTCAGGGAGCCGCGGTGTCCCATCAATCATTATGAGCATCCGTCGTTGCGTGCTCTGCTGTTGTCGTGGCTGTTCCTCCGTGAGCGTCCATGCCCCAGACCCATGCAACACGCATGCCGCAACGGACGCCCGGAGCAATCGCATGCGGTGTTGCATGTTGATGCGCCAATTACAGAATATGGAATGGTGTTTTGCCAATGTTGCCAAACAACACCCATTGTGTCGCAGCTCCGTGTCGTGATATGAGCCGACAGACAAGTTACGACCCAAATACTTTTCGGACTGACCTTGCTGGATTCCTCGTACATCATGTCTTCCACATCGTAGAGTAGCCGGCCTGTTGTCGACATTTGTCAAAATTGAGATTGCAGCCGCAGGACACGAACATAAAACCGATAAACCGATAAACCGATAAACCGATAAACTATTTCGGTTGATCGGTTTATCGGCAGATCGACCGATAAACCGATATGATTATATCGGTTTATCGGTCGATCTGCCGATAAACCGATCAACCACTAAACCGACTCATCGCATGCGTGCCCGAATCTCAGCAC